TGTGAGAATCATTTCTTTTACATTGTTCATTTATATATTCGAATGGCAACAATAGATTGTTATTTTCATTGATAGTACCTCAATGATGAAAATAATTATTTTTATTTTTACTCTAATACTTTGAAATCTAATCAGAAGCTAGATTGACTAGTTTTACTTGGCAAATTTTTAATTCACAGTTAATATAGTAAACAAGATATGAGGGAGAATTATTGAAATACTTCAAAAACCAAGGTCTTTACTAATGAAATTATAACTATATACATTTCTCACATAAGAGACAAACAGTTAATGAAAATTGTTCCCAAGTGGAAACCATGGTAGATGGAGGATATGTGTTAATACAAGACTTTCTTAGTGTATACTTTTTTTGTATATGATTTTGATTTTTGACAAATGTAAACAGCTTACCTGTTTAAAAATAAAACATGAATATACATGCCTGTATGTAAACATGTGTGGGGAACAGGTTTTTGTGTAACTTTATAGCCCTAAGTAGGACAACCACAGAAACATTACTTTGAATATAAAAAAACCAAGAAATATTTTTTTTCTTTAAATATCCTAAGTTTTGAGACTTCAGTAAAGGTGCTCTGTGTTCTGCGTAGATAGGACATGATTTCAGTTGAAGCCAACGTATATACTATTAAATAAATAGTATGCCACTGGTCTTTGAGAAGCTAGTTACCACTGATAAATTCTAGAGGAAAAGGCATCCTTTTTTTTTTCTTTATTTTTTTTCTAAACAGTGGGTGTTCCAGCATGTCTAATAAAGGGTTTTACATTGTACTTGACAATTTTTTTCACTGAAAATAAGATATTTCAGTTTAAAAAGAAGTTAGCTTTGATGTGAGCTAATTGATTATTTAGCAAGCTCACTTTGCTGAGTTACAGTATATATTGTTTCTGAGGAAATAATTTGAGTTAATAGGGTTTTAAAAAGATAGTAGACAGTACAGTATAATTTCCAGGAGAAGATCCAGGATGTACATCTTCATAAAGTTTTATATTATCTTATTTTCATTTGTATTTTAAAGTAAAAGACACTACAGTAGTTTAATGTCTTAGTTATAAAGGTAAACATTTATTTTTTTAAAAACATGATACTACTTTATGCAGTATTTGAAATTACTTTACTAAAGAAAGCTATTTGCCACCATAGCAGAGAGTTTTAGGATGTAGTAAGTCTAAATAGTATTTCTTTTTCTTTTTTTTCTAAAGTAACTTTCTAAATATCTTAAATAACTATAGCCTTATAGTTTACTTGTAATAAAGAATGTTAATAAGGGAGGGTAGGAGTTAATTAACTAGATCCTTAATAATGGGCCTTTTGTAGTAGTACAAGGAATCTTATAATTACCTCCAAAGCTAGTATATATAGCAAGTTGAAGATGAAATATCTAGATTTGTAAATATTTATCCTAAGAAAAATGTTGCCATCAGGTAAATTGTCACCTTAGCTGTATGTAAAATACCTTTTTAATGATAAGCAATATACCTTGTCGAAGTACCTTAGGAAGTAGGAGTCCAGTGCCTCCTCTCCGCTCAAGATTAAATTCACAAACAAGAGTAAAACTTGTGAGCACAGCTTTTGTTCCTTTTAGAGAAGATAGCCTTTCAGACCAATTTTTTACACTTAGTAAAAAGATAGTCCTGTGATAGTGAAGAATCAATGAAGTTTGTGGCAATTTTCCTGAAAACTATTTTTAAAGAATGAAATGGAAAAGCCTAGGAGATATTTCATCAAATCTTGATATGAGATGTGCAGTTTGAACTATATATTACGTAGTTTCTGCAAATGCTGTGTGCTCCAAACTGGTTCACTTTATCTTCAGTTCCCCCAGAGAATAATATTTAATCTCTCCCTTTGGGATTGCCCATTTTATACCACCCAAGTGACTTGAGAAATCTGACCGGCCTATGCCAGGACTCCAGTAGGGTGACACTTAATGAAAATAGTCCACTTCGCCTGTTTGTGGTGGGTGTGGGTGGGTGGGGACTGTATGAAAATATATTTCATTTTCAAAATGTTTCCGGAAGGACTTATTTGTGGAAATGTTGCTTGCTATTTAAAACTGCATAAAAATGCCGGTTTCACAAAATACAAAAATAATCTCCTGAAAGTTTGGAGGGGGGGAGAGGGGCTGCTGTGTGGGGGCGGTCCCTGCTGCCCACGTCTCCCTCTGTTCGGTGCGCTGTGTGCTTACGGGTTCCCTGGAGCGGATCACCATATAATTGATGTGCAGTCTGCATTGCTGAATCCTGGACTGCACCATTCTGTGTTCAAGGGAAGATGTAATCTGATCCCTCTGCTGCTGAGGGAGGAATCTGTTCAGTCAAGGCTTTGACAGGGCAGAGTCTCCTCCAATAATCTTCCCGGTTCTCTCTCATTATTCCCTCGAGTTCTCAGTCAAGCTGCATGTATGTATGTGTGTCCCAAGAAGCGGTTTGCTACTGAGCTGCATTTGCCTTTACTGTGGAGTTTTGTTGCCGGTTCTGCTCCCTAATCTTCCTTTTCTGACGTGCCTGAGCATGTCCACATTAGAATCTGTGACATACCTACCTGAAAAAGGTTTATATTGTCAGAGACTGCCAAGCAGCCGGACACACGGGGGCTCAGAATCACTGAAGGGGAAAAATACAGAAAATATGGGTTTCTACGGCACATTAAAAATGATTTTTTACAAAGTAAGTAATCTGTTTTCTTCCTGTGCTGTGTGATTGTGTGTGCCTGCCTGAGAAGGAAAATCTGTATCATCAGAGATGGCTGCAGTATCCTCTAATTTTGGTGGGTGGCTGGATGTCTGGTATTCTGTTTTATTTCATGAATGTAAGCAAATAATGGAGAGACAGCCTGAGCTGGGGGAAGCTTTAAATTTAAAATAAAATGTATATTTTAATCAGAATTTTTCACTAAAAATATATTCAGACTTTAGAAATGTGGCTCTGTTAAACGCTGACCTGGAAATACTCTATCCTTAGTTGGCTCTCAGTGAAGCATTTGCCTTCAATTTTTCTGTACCTTATATTTGTTTTTCTTTTTTTCATTAGTTGGCTCTTAAAGTACAGAGTCACTAGAATTTGGGGATTTATTTTTAAAGAAATTATGTTTACTTTCTGTGCCCCTCAAAATTGCAGGATTCATTTTTGGTTCTAAAGTCAGGATCTTTACTAAATGGTACAATATTTAAAAGATTTCAGAAGACGCTTTATTTTATAAAATAATTTAAAATAAAGTCCTCAGTGTTTTTCATAATATATATTTTGGGCATATTTATTCATTGGAGGATTTCTAAGAAGGAAATAAAGTTTGCTTTTAATGGCAAATGGCATTTGCAGCAATGTATTTATAAGATATCCTGGGAAGTTCTGATTGCCAACTTAATTAGAATGAATATCAAAGTTTCTTATAATAATTACAAAAATAATCTGTGAAAGTTATCCCAGAACTTGATTGTAAGATCATCTCTACTGACTTTCACGATAGGATTTATTTGCAGATATGTGTGTTATAAATTATACACGTGGAAGCACGTGGCCACCTATATATTACAGCTTTTATAATAAATTTATGTTTAGCTTTTAATAAAATTATGTAGAGAAAGAAATTAATGGTTTTTGAGAGGGATCACTTTAAAATGTAATGATTAGTACAGAACAGAAACTTCTGAAGGAAAGAAACCAGACTAATTCTGTTTTTTTCCAGTAGCTATTTTATGAGCTGAGGTATAAATTGTGGATGAGCTTGTTGTACCCTCACCTCCACCCACTAATGTAAGAGCATCCTGTATTAGGTAGGAAACTTTCTTCATGTTGGTAAAAACCACGTTCAAAAAGATATTAGAGTCTCTTGTCAGTTCTCTTTAGTACTTGTATTGTATCATGCTGTGTTATGGTGTTCCCATGTGAGGCCATGGGTAGGAAAATGAGGCTGCTGTAAAATAAGGGTTTTCACCTTACTATAAAAGTGAGGATAGCTATTTATCACACCCCATAACTTGCAGTACTACATAGTCATTAATTTCTGAATGCAAATCTGAAAAATATTGTTGAAATAGAGAAAGCTGGGTTTTGTCAGTTCTTATTTTCTACTTTTAAAATAAATATAGTAAAATTATATCAGTTAATTGATAATGAAATATAAAAATAAATATTTCAGTATTGGCTTTGACAAAATGCAGTTTTGAATACATTTATAGTGTAACACAGCATAATGAAATACCTACAGATGGAAATGCTTGCTATATCTTGTAAAGAGGCATTATTCATTCTCAAATTTTGTTTTTGTTTTTGTTTCAAGTTAGAATATTTTGTCCAGAGGGTCTGTCAGTAGAACTGTGCTATGTGTGTGTATAGCAATTGATGACTTTTTTCCTTCAGCTTTATCATGCTGTTCCCAGATCTCTTTCTGTGGATTTACTTTTTACTGTCTGTATTGCCCATATTAACTACTTTATGCTTTGCTATAATCGGCGTCCAAGCTTATTTTACTTACATTACCCTCTTTACCCTTTTATAGTAATATAGGTATGCAGAATTCAGTTAGTTACTTCCATTCTTATTTCTGATACATTGTTACCTTTCTTAAAATGTAATTTTGAAGAAAAATGAAGATTTGTGAGAAAGCATGTTAATTATTTTTTTTCTGTATAAATGAACATGATGAGATTTTCTTTCCTTATGCTGGCTATTAAAATGGAAAACATAAAAATGTATATTACTCATGGAACATATGTGGTTATTGTCAATTTTTCCATCACTACAAACTATCTGAACAAAATAGTTTGTAGGATAAATTTACCTTTTCAATTGGTTAAGAGTAAAAGTAAAATAAATAGAAGAAACTGTGAAACAATTCTTTCCTAGATTAATTACCTAATTACCATTACAGGCACATGAAAATTTAAGAATTTAAAAAAATATTACAGTGCTAACTCAGGATCTGTTAGTTGAACAGGTGATTTTTTATTTAAACATATCTTATTTGCTTTACCTTGTAGATGAAAAGAAAGTTGGACCATGGTTCTGAGGTCCGCTCCTTTTCTCTGGGAAAGAAACCATGCAAGGTCTCAGAATATACAAGGTAATATGCAGTGTAATGATTGATTCTCTTGTGGCTCCCATGATTTTAGATTTGGTAATTCTGGAAGCATTGCTTTCAGTTTGTTCTCCTAGGATGGTAATTTACTAGTACAGTATATTGTTTACATACTTGAGATTAGTAAAAATTGAGAAGTACATCATTTTAAATAGGAAGGAGGACTACCACTGTAGCTTGTATTTTGTACTACTGTATTAAAGTAAGACACAAGCAGAAGTTCTCTTGTGAACAAAATTTTAAAACTCACAACTTTTAAGGAATTCCATAAAGTAAACCATAAAATATGAATATGAGCAAATATGTGTTGTTACTATAGCAACAGCTCTTCTAGGGAGGATATTATATGCAAAATTAAAGAAAATTTATTAGCAGTGAAATAAACCTCACAATTACTAACTCAATCTTATTTCATGAAATTAATGTATTAGAAATTCTACAATTGGCTTCCTAGATCTTATGCTTTTAACACATACATTTTTACCCCAGTGGAATAGTTTCCATAACAACTAAATACAATTGTAGTCTTGTTTCCTGCTTCAGTCCATCATTTTTGGATTTTACACTGGTATGAAACTTTTCCCACTCACAACGCTAATTAGGCTGACTTAGGCACAGTATCTATAGCCGCGCCAATTAAAAATGGCTTTGCACATCATTTGGAATGCTGTATTTTAAAATTTAAATGATAAAAAGTATCTTAAGAGCTTTTTGGGTCTTTTTTATTTTTTTGTTTTTTGTATAATTGTCACCTCAACTAACTGATTGAAAGTTGGCAGTAGAGACCCTAAGGAATTTCATGTTTATCATCTTTTTTCTCCAAGTATTTTGATTTAAAATTACTTTTATTCTATAAGATGTAGATTAACATTTCTCAAACATCAGGATTTAAAAAATTGAACGTTGTTACTGATTCATCTCTTTTTAAAAAGAGAAAACAGTTCATAATCATTCCACTGAGGATAATATTTCACATGCTATTAGGTAAAATTTTTAAAATCATAATAGATAATTTTCTGTGCAAAAAACTACAGAGCTGATACAAAAGAGAAAAATAAAGCTATCTTCCAGCTAGTCAGGTACTGCTTTTCTGTGTGCTATTTCTCATGTTAACCGTCCCCTTCTTTCTCTCTTGACAATTTTACTGTTTTGGCACTTCCACCAGAGGGTGTGGAGGGATAGAGAGACAAGGAAAACCATTCACTTCATTTTGCTTTTTCCTTCTAGCTTTGATAAAGTATTCTTGGATGGGAAAGTTGAGTTCAATGTTAAATTATCTGCTAATGCTATTTTTTAAATGGATAGATTCCAATCAAAACATTATTTTGGTCTCTATAAATATAGCTAATACCAGGACAGAGTTATTAAACTGTTCAGTTGTTTTTAAGGCAGCTTATAAAAATTGTTGAATTTTTATTACAAAATACATTTTGATAAAATGTGTCTTTTGTTGTTCACTTTTTATATTGAGAAGGCCTTTTAATGTATAATCTTACTAAAGCAAAATTAGACTCAATGGTAGATTTATTTCTATGTCTTTTTGGAGGTTTTGTCAGTTACTAATGTATATAATATTTTTGTGATTGTTTTTGACAGTTTAACATCTAATAGGATGAAACTGATTCTACATTTTTCCTCGAAAATTTTAAGTTTTAGCACACATTCCATCTTATTTTTTAAGAAAAAGAAATTTGAACATACCTTTGAATTTGAAAGAAAAAAGGATAAATTTGATTGTTGAATGTTAGAGATTATCCCAAATGTATAGATGTTAAAAGATTGGAAGGGAACAGGTATGAAGATTTTTCTATAGAATGTACTAATTGAGTTACATTTTTAAACAAAAAATTGCAATACATTGGATAGAAAAATTTGGAGGGGTTACTTCATTAGTACTTTTATCAGAGCATGATGCTCTATTATAATATAATTTTATATTCTTGGAATTTAAACCAATTTATTATCAAATCAATGAATTGAGAGTTATTTTACAAATTTAACATTAACTACATCTTTTTGTACCATCTCTGAAGTAGAGATGCTTCATATTTACCTTATTTAGATATTTTAGGGCTGAGGATTTAGCTCTTTGGTTCTGGCACCTGCCTCACAAGCACAAGGGCCCGAGTTCAATCCCCATTACCAATCAATCAATAAATAAGTAGGATACAGAAATTAGAAAGTAAAGTTTAATACATTAATAACATAGTTATGACTATTTCTACTTATAGTTATTTTGAGATGTGCTAGACAATTTTAGAACTAGATCATATAGTCTTACTCCATTTTACTGGTTGCAGAATTTTAAGCTCAGATTTTATAATGTTTAGTTGCTTCAAAGTTTGAATTATTGGATAAGACTGTTTAGATGATCTCATTTTACTTAATTTTGCATATAAGTTCTTGATAGCTATTCTGAATAACTACATTTTTAATCAAGACTGATTCCTGCCAGATACTCAAGACTAAGATTTAAATAACAGTAAAATATTGGAGAGCAATAGGTATAAATAATTTTGCCTTAAGGCAGATTTAAGGAATGACTAGTGATATCCAAAATATTTTAATGTATTATTTTTAGATATGAATTTTTAAAAATCATTGCTCTCACATTCCTTTTTATAAAGAAAATTTAAGTTTTTATTTAGTTATGTCACTGAAGACCCTAGAAGTAGACCTGCATGTTCTGAGGAAATATTTTCTTCTGTGATAGAGATTTTATTCATTGTCACATGCATTTTGAGCACATGCTTCACTACAGAGCAACACCCCAGACCCCACGAATTATTTTAATATTACTTGTATCTATCAGTGACTTGCAGTTTTGCCAGAGATTCTGTCATTGAGTTGCGCTTCGGATTGCTGAAATAATAACAGGTGGTTGTGTAGGAGGGAGGAAATTTACTCTAAGAATAGCAAAGTAGGTTTTATGTACCCTTCCTCTCTGGGAATAAGCAAATAAAAGAATAAATGGATTGATGTTTGAAATATGCCAGGTCATCATTCTTCTTATATTAAATCAGAATTTATACTTAATATCTGTCTTTGCTTCTATTCTTCTTTTTTTTTTTTTTTTTGGTAGTACCACTGGGCTTGTACCATGTTCAGCAACACCAACAACTTTTGGGGACCTAAGAGCAGCCAATGGCCAAGGGCAACAGCGACGCCGGATAACATCTGTCCAGCCACCTACAGGCCTCCAGGAATGGCTGAAAATGTTTCAGGTAACTTATGTAAACACACTACTCAAAGGGCTTCCCTTAATCGTCACAAAAAAGAAGGGATTATTCAGCCATAAAAAAGATTGAAGTGCTCTTACATGTTACACCATAAATGAACCTTGAAAGTATTATGCTGTGTGAAAGAATCAAGTCCCCATATCCATTCTGTTTATTTTGTTTATATGAATTGCCCAGAACAGGCAAATCTTCAGAGACACAAAGTAGTCTAGTGGTTGCCAGGCAGTGAGGGATGGGAGGATTGTGAGTGACCGCAAATAAGTACAGGGTCTCTTTGTCTGAGAGTGCTGGGAACCACTGAAGTGTACACTTCCAACTGCTAGATCTTCTACATCTCCATAAAGAGATGTTATGCTGTTAAAAAAATAAGCGAGCTAGGGCTGGGGATTTAGTTCAGTGGTTCTGCCATCTGCTTTGCAAGTGCAAGGTCCTGAGTTCGATCCCCAGTACCAATAAAAGGGAAGGGGGAGAGCTCATTTTACAGTGTGATAATTAAGAAAGTCCAGTGCTTATTTTGTATAAGTATGCATTTGCATTTTCTACTGCTTATTAAATAAGAGCTTTCTTCTTTTTTTCATGTATGTTTGCATTTCTCAACTGTGGAATTACTCGTTTTCTAAACTGCATTGATTGTAAATTAGACTCTTAAGATTAATTTAAGAACTCCCCTAATTAGTCACTGAAGTAACTTACCCTTTACTACTGCCCTAGTAGAATTGATGCAGTTTCCTCTCACCATAACTATGTTTTTGTGTATTGCTTAGTGTACTCACATTCCAAGTACTATATTTTGTAGTGTTTAAATTATTTCAACATACACTATAAAGACTGGTTGCATCCAAACCTTGAATACTATTTATTTTATAAATTAATTTAGTGTTATTAAATTGATTTATTTCTACTTCCTGTGAAATAATGCATATAAATCAGTGTTTAACAAAATAGTGGCATAGAATACGCACTTGCTTATTTATTCTTTATAAAAAATAAGTAAAAATTAAGTCAAATGAAGATATTTGATCTGTTAACTACTATCCTAATGTAAAATGAATATATTTCACTACCTCTGGCTGCTGGAGTGGTTGAATATGTAATAAATGCATAAGGAAATAATAGTTGAAAAATGGTGTTTATTTGACTTTATTTGGTATTTCAGATTTTTAGAAGATACTACCTTATATAAATTCTAATATTTTAAATAGGCAAAAACAAAGTAAATGGCTCTTCTTTTCTTCTGTAGCTGAAAAATTCATTAGAGCCAATGTTGCTTTTAAGTGGAGTTTTAAAATTTCTACCCTTCAGGTGATTTTAAAACACTAGGAAGATTTGGGGTGGGAGGTGTAACCAAAGCACAAGAGCCTAGTTCTCATCTGGGCTTGGCTTTTTGCCTGTCTCAGGGCACTTTTGGGTGTTGCAGCCAAGGGGGCCAGGTAGGACATTGCCACAGCTAATGGGGGAGGCAGTGCAAAGAGCAAGGATTTATCCAGCCCAAAATGTCAAGTGGTAGTAAGGTCAAGAACCTCTGGGTTAGAGAAATGAAAGCCAGGTTTTATTATTATTAAAATGTTATGAATCACTCCGATAACAAAATGTTTTGTTTTCATAGTCATTTGTTGGCTTATCTCTTCCTCAAGGATTGTTCCTATCCTTTCCCTCTGCTCCCTCTTCATTCTTTTACCCAGGTTCATGGTATTTTGTACAATTTTTAATTAATTTTTAGGCATGAACTCAGAATCCTGAAGTTTTTATTTTGTCTCATCTTTGTAAAAAAGAAATTTGTTCATCAGTAAGAGATGAAAATGAAACTCAGGCATTTGTAAAGGAGTATTAAAAATTATCATCATCCTGCTCAGGGAGATGGGGCTGTGGATGTGTATGGTCATGTGGTACATGCATGTAAGTGTGAGCAACGTGACACTTGAGAATAGTGTAGAACTGATTTTGTACCTTTTTTTGGTAATAAAATACCAATGTGATTGAAAATTACACTATTCTTAATGGTTTTATCATCATAGTGCACAGCCTCCATCATGCTTATTTTACCATATGGAAAGGTTTATTTCTTGTCAAGAGGTAGTTCAGAGTAAGGTTATTTATATGGTAAGGCTTGCGCCTCCCCCCCCCCCCATTTTAGACTACCAGAATATTTTTTGTATGCTATGTAGGATATTAGCCAATTTTAAGGAGCTCTGTCTAATACTGATTGGCAGTTGGGAGGCATTAGTACTTTCATTTATAGTGAGAGTATTTGACAACCTTTACTTGTTTAGCTAGCTCATGCTTTCCTTAAATGATCAAATGTTACTATTTACTGTATTTCATCAAATCTGAGGCTGTGTAGATTTTTAGATGCATCCAAGATTCAGAGATGTTAAATGAAAACTACAAAAACAAACAAAAACCTTATTTTTTCAAATTACAGAGACTCAATAAGCTGAAGAATGTTAGGCCAGCTTTGTCCTGTCAAAGCATTTGATTACTTTTTCATTTGACAAAGTAGATGTAATGAAGAAAATTTGTGTTTAGTTTTCAAGAATAACATGAAATTATGCCTGCAGTTATAGAACTTTATTTTTTTCAGATAAATAATGTAAAGCAAACAAATCTGTAGCAGTGAAAGGTCAGTGTGACAGGGAGATCAGGGCCTTAATCTTTTTGAGTGTCATGTCTGCCTCTGCCACACCCAAGGCCTCTTTGTTGTATGCTGCTTCTGCCCTTTCAGGGCTGGTGGCAAAATAACTAGAAATGAGTCACTTGCCTGGAAGTTTGTGATGTTAGTGCATAACTTGTAGGCAGTAAAGCCTGACCTGTAATGTCAGCGTGAAGCAGGGCCTGAGTTGGCTGTGGGAGAGCACAGGGCCTGTGCAGGTGTGCGGGGCCCTCAGTGAGGCCTCTTCTGCTGCATGACAGACACAATGGAAGCTCTTGTCTCCTCGCTGCCCATTCCTTCTGAGGAAAGGAGACCAGCAGTGTTTTGGTCCAGCTCCATCTATTCTGAGAAAGTACTCTGCTCTCAGTTTGCAATAGAATGAGAACAAATGGTACACCGGTTTTGATGAAACGAAATTGAAACAAAATACTACTTCAAAGTAAAGTGCAAAGTAAAGACAAAACCAAAAAGCAAATTTTGTAACATTTGAATTTTCCATAGCCATTGATTCTACTTTTCTTCAGAGCCAGAGTGACACTTCATATAGTTAATTTCAAAGGAGATGGTTGGCCATTTGTTTGGTTTCTTTATGTCATTTGGGTGTTAGTATATGGTTTGTGACTTGAAATTTTTAACCTAATGACATGAACAATCTTAAAGGTGAAATTTATGTTCAGAGGCATCCTAAGAGAATAAATACAGTGATCTAGAGGAAAAAGCTCTTAGTGCAATTTTGACTTTGCCTCTTGTAACTGGATAATTTTATTAATGATGTGTAACCACTTGTCCCTTCATTTGCATACTCCACAAAACAAAGGTAATACTAAGAAGTTTTCAAAAGGGATGAGAAAATGCCAGTTGCAGCACTCACCTATAATGTCAGCACTCTGAAGGCTGAGGCAGGAGGATTGCCACAAGTTTGAATCCAGCGCAGGGTACATAGTAGTGAGTTCAAGGCCAGCCTGAACAGCGTAGCCAGGCCCTATCTCTAAAACTTGTGGCGGGGGTGGGGGGGGCGCGTAGAAGATGTGCTTAAAGCTATACTTGAAAGTATAATGGAGACTTTGTAAATATTGATTTCCTCTGTTAGTCAAGAAATAGCCTTTATGGGCCTCTATTTTCTCATGCCTTAAAAGGGGCTCATAGTTTGAAACACTTGTTCATTTATTGATGTCAGGATCAAAGATAAATTATGTGGAAAAGATTTAACATTCTATAAATGTCATTAGTTTTACAACTTCTAAATTAATTAATAATTTTTGTGGTGCTTATGGTTAAGCCTAGCATCTTGCACATGACAGACAAGCATTCTACCAGTGAGCCGCATCCCTCACCCCTAGCTCTACATTATTTTAATGAAAGCATATTGCATTAAAGCTACATATGTTCTTGGATAAAATGTTACACTTAAAACATTAAAAAACAGTGAAAAATACTTTGTTTTTATATTAAAATGAAGTAAAATTTGTATTGAAAAATCCAAATTTCATGCTAACACTTAGGAATCATACATACTTTTCATTTTATTTAAATCTTATCTGGTAGTGAACAAAAGATGAAAGGGCACATGATAATTCCAAAAAACAATGAGTTTATTATTACTTTGAAATTGTATTTCTTATAGTATGCTTAAGAAACCTTCCAAAATCTTGTGTGAATGCATAAAGCCGCCTCTTTAGCCAGAGAAAACTTAAGGGAAAATACTGTCTGTCTTTGATGTGTCAAAGACTTTTGCATAAAAGTAGAAACAGACTAATTCTTAGTTCCTTCAGAAAGTGAAACCTGGGTCATGTTCTGACTTAGTTTTTGACATTAGCTGGCCTTAACAATAAGAACTGGCCCACAGTTCAAAAAGACTGGGTACCATGCGAGGGAAGCAGATTCTTCACTACATGGAATTCAGGCACAGTACCACCCAAAGTCACATGTATGATTGAGACACTGAGGATTGCCCAGGCTCGTGAACCCCAAAATGTGGCTTGTGAATCAGCCACATCAGTACTGGATGAATTGCTTAAGAAATAAATGTCCTCAGCCACAACTCTTCCACTGAGCCAGACCTTTAGGTGGTGGGTTATCTGTGATAATTTTGTGTTCTTTGGCCATCATTTGGGAGCCGCTGGTTTATTTTACATAGGTGGGGTCTCTGAGGCTCAGATAACTTACAGGACTTGCATGCAGTTCCACATTGTCTAATAGCAAGTCTACTGGTGAAGCCCAGCCTACTGTTCTGCATTACCTGTCTACTTGAATTAAATAAAATTTTACTTCCACAGAGAATTTCCACTTTTGCTCACAAATGAAAATCTGTATTGCTTGATCTTTTTAAAATCTAATGTTGTTCCTCTTCCTATGTTTACCAAAGCCAAAATTAGTGCTTTTTCTTTTTCCAGGACAACTAGTTTTCGGACAGAAGTAAAGTAATAGTAATCAGGTATCTACAGCTTTCCTTTTGCAGATAAAGAAACTAAGACTTGCAAGGTTAAATTGTAGCCTTAATTATAGCACCTCCTCTATAAGTTGAATCTCCTGACTCCTAATTCAATCCTCTTTCCAGTGTCCCTTGTTAAAGGGAACTGTAGGTTGTTGTTCTGTATATTTTAATATATTCATTCAAGGTTTTCAAGTTCATGCATAGTTTCTTGCTGATCAGTCTCATATGCAGACAAAATTTGAAACTGCTCTTGGAACCAGACTGAGCAAGCAGGTCCTACTGATGTCATTGAATATAAAGAATAAAAACTAGAGAAGTTTGACTTAACATTACTCTAGTTAACGCCTGACTTCTGGAGTTCATTTAATCCACAAATATTTTTAAGCACCTATCTTGTGCAGGGCCTTACTCAGAGTCTGTGATACAGCAATAGATAGATAAAACAGACAAAAACTGTTTCGGCATAAAACTTATAGTCTGGATAGGAGGAAGAAGATTAGGATTAGAGCTAGTTTGCAGTTTTGAAAAGGCTTAGTTCTTGCCCAGAGAAGGAAGGATTGCCCGTAGCAAGAAGGAAGGAAGCATGCCTGGTGGGTATCGGGTAGAATGTACCAGCCACCCAACACATGAGGAGGCTCTGAAGCGCAGCATGCCTGGAGTGTTTGAGGCTCAGAAAGAATGTGTATAGCCGGCGAGAGTAAAAAAGAGGGAAAGTAATAAGCAAATTAGGATCACGTGGGCCAATCTAAGAGCTTCGGTTTTTATTTGACTCAAGTGGGAAGCCAGTAGAAGGTTTTAAGCAGAACGACCTTTACCAGTCACTGAGTACTGTGTGGAGAATAGAACAGGAGGTGAAAGGTTAGAAGCTGGAAGAACTGTCAGGAATAATGTAGGTGAGAGATACTGGTATGGTGTCTTAGACCAGTGTAGTAATGTTCAGGTTCTGAATGTGTTTTGAAGCTTGAGGCCATAGAATTCATTTGGGTCAGAGCTGTACGAGAAGGGGAAGAGTCAGGGATGACTAGCGTTTTGGGCCTGAGCAACAGGTACAACATGGTACTTCATTTGCATGTTGCTGAAATGAGGAAGAATAGAAGCATATATTTGGAGAGAGAGCTCATGCACATGATCACTTTCTGCTGCATATCCAGGAGATGTTGAGGAAGCAGTTTGATACACTGGTCTGGAGTTCAGGGAAGAGGTTCAGATTGCAGGGAGAAGAGTTATGTGAATGGTCCAGACCTTTGTTGAAATCACCCAAGAGATTTAATTTTAATTTGACTGTTGAATGTGTGTGGTCCATTGAGACAGTCGTATTTATATATGGTTAGAACAATATTGTTTAAAATATTTAGAGTCTTAAAGAAACATTTTCTAGTCGTACTTTTTAATGAGCTTTGTCATATATCTATAAATTTGTGAAATAGTTTCAAGGATCTACGCAAGATCTGAATTAGTATTTATCTTCTAGTTTATTTTCCTATTTTATCTTCCTATCTAAAAGATCTGATAAAAAGATATTTCTCATCTGTTAGCATTTATGTATACTGTGTATTGGTAACATTTTCTTATACTTTAAAAAAAACTGCAGTAATTCATTATTTATTACTGTACATTAGAAATACAGTGTCTATTAATGTAAGGAATATATATAGTAGCAATACATCTTTCTATAACTGTATATAGAATATCTTTGTTTTTATTATCAAAATTTAACCATGAACACTTTCAAAAATATTTTTAGACCAAATGTTCATATATATGAAGATTAAAAAGTTTATACTAAAATTATTTTCTTTTTTTTAATGTTGCTGAGTTTATTGGTACTTTTTAAGTATACAGTACAGTTACATTCATCATTGGGATCTTGTACCTTTATATGACAGATTTTGGTTCTTTTTTTCCTCATACCCCTGCCCTCCCGTCACCCCTCCAGCCTCCCCTATAAAATTATTTTCTATCAACTGCCCTAATTAAAGCTGCATTTTGAGTTAATATAATTGTCCATCGCTCATAATGGGCTTGTTCTACAATAATAATCTCCACAAGTGTGACGTAGTTGGAGAAAACATTATGAAAACCCATCTCATTCTGTGAGGAATATAAATCAGTAAATCAGTGAGCTACATAATATTGATAATAGAGTGGAGACTGATTGGATTATCATATAAATAAGTTTTAAACCAGTTTTTAAATTTTTATTTGTATTAGTACATGTACGGAGTATATAATTGAGTCAATTTTGAAGTTCTTTGAGGCAAAAATGTAATCAAATAATTTCTCTTGATCATGTCTATACATACAGATTCAAATTTCAAATTATTATATGTAAATCCTCACTCTGACCAAAAAGGATGCCAAGTTAAGCACTCAAGGTGAATCTTCTGAATATATGTATGTATAGAAGTAAAAGGAAAGAATACAGGTTTATTGGAACCTCTAGTTCTTTGTACGTGGTAAATTTGAATGTATTATGGGGATAGCTGAATGCCATTAAAAATGTTTCATAGAAATACTAAAACATAGTTCATGATAGGAAAGAAGATAAGAAGTTCATTGTAGATTCGAAAGGGTAAATGCTTCCAAAAGAGTTCTCTTTAAAATATTTTGAGTAAGGCTGCCCAGTATCCTTAATATTTTTCTGTTTTCAATTGTCATATATTTTATATGAACCTGAGCATCCCTTCTTCTCCTCTCCTCTCCTCTCCTCTCCTCTCCTCTTTTTTCCCTCTCCCTCTCTCCCTCCTTCCTTCCTTTTCTTTCTTTCTTTCTTTTTGACCAGGGATCAAACTCAGGATTTCCTGCTTGTCAGGCAGGTGCAGTGTCACTGAGCTAAATCTGTAGCCCTAACCATTTTCTTTTTTTGAACAAGAAATAGAAAGTCAAAGTTCATATTTTTCTAGCTCTGAATGTCACCTGTTACTCTCTATTTATTCTCTTCCAAAGGGACATAATAATTCATAGAAGCATTTAAATCAGCATCAATTAAAGAAGCAAAGGCCTCTTTAAAGATGTTTTTTTCATTTACCATGAGGCCCTTTACATGTTTTGCATGATTATTGTGAAACTCCATTATTTTAAATTATTTCATATGACTGAAGTTTTTCTTTTTGTGCATCCTAGCTTTTTAAATGCAGGTGTTCCTCACAGCAAATGAAAAAAAAATTTTAAGTAATTCCCTAGTGTTATATTTTTGAAGTATAATTATGTGTTTTTGTTTTTCTGTAGTGTATCACTTTATTTCTTACTCTTTTTTTTTAATTTATTAATTTTATTGAGATTATTGGTACATTTTAGGGATACAGTACAGTTACATTCATTGTTGGGATCATGTACCTCTACATGGCAAGTCTTCATTCTTATTTTTTCCCCTTACCTCTGCCCTCCCTTCCCCCCCTCCTCCCCTCCCCATCTACAAACACTTTATTTTCATCTTTTCTTTTTCTTTTTTTTT